CTTTTTTTTCCAGGCTATCACTATGTAAGCTGAGGCTGGCCCAGAACTCCTGATCCTCCTGCTTCAGTATTCTGAGTGCTGGCATTACAGGTGTGCGTCCCTGTGCCCCACTTGAACAATTACTTTTAAATGCCTGTGGTGTGCCACCAGTTGTTGGTTTTGAAAGGAAAATAGTTATGAGGAGTTTTGGCACACATCTTTAAGCTCATCACTGAGGAGGCAGAGGCAGGTGGATCACTGAGATCAAGGCCAGTGTGATTACATAGTGAATTCTAGACCAGCTGGGGTTATGGGGAGACTCTGTCTCAAAGCACCAAAAGAAAAAAGGAAGGGAAAATAGAGTCAAGTATGCTGGACTCTTCCTCAGCTCCTATTCTATGAAAAACTTATTTCTTCTTTTTGATAGCCTTTGTTACCTCCTGGGCCTTTAGAAATGATTCCTGAAAATCAAGATGACAGAAATGAACTGTTCAAAATGGTTTTGAAGACATGGACAGAGATGAGCAAGGTATCACTTGGGATGACTTACAGCTTTTAGAATCATCTACTAAAGAAATTTCTGTGTACATATGTTAACATAGTACTTTGATCTTTCTTAATGTTTCAGACATGTACTGAGAACACTGAGAAGGGGTTGTCTAGCATTAAAAGGTAAGTTAAAATTCTTTGCCTTTGTTTTACTTTTGGCCTTAATTATTTTTTGAGACGTGATATATAAAAGGTATAATATATGTTATTGTAGGAAACCTTAAAAGTGAGGGGGAAAAAAAAATCATTCTTCTAATCTGAATCTAATCTGAAGTGTTTCCTTCCTTCCTTTTTTTTTTTTTTTTTTGAGACAGGATCTCCCTGCTCCCTGTAGTCCCAGCTGGCTGGCCTGGAACTCGCTATGTAGATCCGGCTGGCCTGGAAATCACAGAGATCCACCTGCCTCTGCCCCCCAAGTGCTGGGATTAAAGACGTGTACCACCATGCCTGGCCCTTCTTTTTTTTAAAAGTAGGGGGTTGAACCTAAGGCTTTAGGTATGCTAGGCAAGTGCTCTACCACTGAGCTATATCCCTATTCTTGTTTTACATTTTTGAGATAGGTTCTCACTAAGTTGTTCCAGGCCGCTTTGAACTTAGTTTCATTTCTTGTTGCTATGATAAAATATTCTGACAAAGGCAGCTTAAAGGAGAAAGGGTTTATTTGGCTTACAATTCCAGGTTACAGCCCATCTTTATTACAAGGAAGTCGGGGTGTCAGGAACTTGCAGCAGCTAGTCACATCACATCCACAGTCAAGAGCAGAGAGCAGTGAATTCATGTGTGCATACTAATGCTCAGCTCCCTTTCTCTACTTAAAATTTTTTGTGTAAAAATTATTTTTATTTGTATTTTATGTAAGTGTTTTGCATGCATGTATATAAATGTACTCATGTCATGCAGAGCCCACAGAGGCCAGAAGAAGGCATCGAATTCCCTGGAACTGGAGTTACTGATGATTGTTGGCCACCATGTGGGTGCTGGGAATAGAACCCAGGTCCTCTGGAAGAACAGCAAGTGTTCTTAACAGCTGAACCCTCTTTCCAGCCCCTAATTTTTTGTTTAAATAGGGTCTCACTATGTAGTCCTGACTGCCCTGCTCTGTGTAGATCAGGCTGGTTTGGCCTAGAACTCATGGGACTCCTCCAGCCTTTGCTTCCCCAGTGCTGGGATTAAAGGGTGTACCACCATGCCTGGCCCTTTTCCCACTCACACAGTTCAGGGATCCTCTGCCTCAGGAATAGTGCCAGTCACAAAGAATAGGTCTTCCTACCTCAGTTAATGAATATAATTAAGATAATCCCCCATAGACATGCCTCCAGGCCCACTGGATCTAGACAACCCCTCTTCCCAGCTGATTCTAGAGTTCATCAAGTTGACAATTAAAACAAGACTTTACCCAGGCAGGCTTTGAACTTGTAATTCTCAGCTTCTGGAGTAACTGAGGACTAAAGGCTTCATTGCCAGGCTGGACCTGCTTTGATTTGGGTATTTCTTTCTTTCTTTTTTTTGTTTTTTTTTTCTTTTTGAGACAGGGTCTCCCTCCCTGCAGCTATAGCTGACCTGGAACTCACTATGTAGACCAGGCTGGCCTCAATCTCACAGAGATCCGCCTGCCTCTGCCTCCCAAGAGCTGGGATTAAAGGTCTGTGCCATCATGCCCTGCTTGATTTGGGTATTTCTTTTCAGGTGCTGCACTGTATGAAGCCGCTGAAGTGTAAATAAGCTTTATGAGGGCAGACTTTGTCTCACCTTTCCAGTACCCAGCACATAGTATATAGTAATTGCTGAATAAATGGATTCCCATTTCACTCTGTTTTAACACGTATACAGTTGGTATTGTGCTTTGCCTCATAGGTGTTTCCACATTTAGTAGAGCACTTCTCCCACTCATTTGGTATTTGGATTTACTGTCTGTTTAGTTGTGTGTTTGTAGAAATGCATGTATATAATAGATTATTTCCTTAGGTTAGATTGCCAGAAGAGGGGCTAATGAGTCAAATATTGGGGCTGGTTTTATAGCTTTTGGTATACATTATCGAATTTTTTTCTAAAATCTTTTCTTTCAAAAATTTTATATAAACTCTGCCACTAGCAGTACACATGAGTATGTTTGTAGGCTGTCGTGTGTTGTCGTGTCATGTCCCGCCCCCTGCCGCCTCTGGGATTTAGATGTATGGTAAGCATGTGTTCTACCACTGAGCTACAGCCCAGTCCAAGTGTGTATATTTAACTCTAGTCTCCTAGGTTTTGATTTTTATTAAAATTATCAATGCTAATTTTATAATTGGAAAACGATAGCTTTTTGCTTAATTTTATCTTTTTGTCATCAGGAGATTGGATATTTGACAAGACTAATTTTACCAATTGTGGTTTTTCTTATTAGGACTGTTGAGATTGTTTTTACTTTTACACTTTGACTTATTAATTTTTGTAGCTACAAAGCCAATTTAAGTGGTATGATCATTAGTGGAGATACTGTTCGAAAACTTACCAAAGGCTCAATAAACTCTGTGGCCATCCATCCATCAGAAACTAGAACCTTGGTAGCAGCTGGAGCCAAATCTGGACAAATTGGGCTTTGGGATTTGGTAAGTTATTACTACTTTTTGAAGATTCTAAAGACTGTCTGAAGTAAACGGTCTTAAAGAGGATAGCCTAGAGACATGTATTTATAAAGGTTGCTTGACACTTCTAGTTTTGTACTTTTATGTTTCTAAATTTTGTAAATCCGGCAGAATTTAAATTTGCTTTATAGAACTTTAAATTTTTTTTTGGTCTTTTTTTGAGACAGGGTCTCCCTGTTGCCCCAGCTGTCCTGGAACTTACTATGTAGACCAGGCTGGCCTTGAACTCACAGAGATCTGCCTGCCTCTGCCTCCTGAGTGCTGGGATTAAAAGCGTGTGTCACCACACCTGGGAGCTTGAATATCTTTAGCTATCTGGACATAATTAACAGCCAGGAGACATTATTAAATGTATATGTGAAAAAACTGCATGAAAACTTTAAGCTTTTAAATTACATTAAAAATAGTGTCTGCTGTGATCTGAATGCTATGTCCATATTCGTGTTGAATTCTTTTTTCTTTAATTTTTTAAAGTGTGTGTATGTGTGTGTGTGTGTGTGTGTGTGTGTGTGTGAGAGAGAGAGAGAGAGAGAGAGAGAGAACACATTTGTTAGAGGATGTATACATGCCATGGTATATGTGTGTCTGTGTGGAGGTCAGAGGACAACTTATAGGAAGGAGTCAGTTCTCTCCTACCATGTAGATTCCAGAAATTAAATTCAGGTCATCAGGCTTTGTCCCAAGTACTTTTACTTGCTGAGCCATCTTGCCTGTCCCTTGTGTTGAATTTTTTTTTTAATTTTATTTATTTTTATTTTATGTGTATGTGTGCATTGCCTGCATGTAGGTAAGTGCACCTGTGTTGTGCAATGCCCTTGGAGGTCAGAAGAGGCTGTTGGCTCCCCTGGGCCTGGAGTTACTGACAGTTGTTAGCGGCCATGTGGCTGCTGGGATTCGAACCTGAGTCTTCTGCAAGAACAACCAGTGTTCTTAACCACTGAACAATCTCTCCAGCCCCTAAACTCTTACTTTTTTATAATTTTTTACACTGGGAGGGGCATCATGGTGCATGTGTGGAGGTCAGAGGACAGCTCAAAGGACTCTCCTTATACGATGTGGGACCCAAGAATCAAACTCAGGGCTTAGTGGCAAGCACTTGTACCTGCTGAGCCATCTCACTTGCTCTTTTTCAATTTTATTATTTTTATTTTATGTGTACGAGTGTATTGCCTGCATGTATGTGAGTGCACCCGTGTCGTGCAATGCTGTGGAGGTCAGAAGAGTGCTTCGGATTCCCCTGGAACTGGAGTTAAGGATGGTTCATGTGGGTACTGGGACTCGAACCCGGGTCCTCTGCAAGAGCAGTGTTCTTAACTGCTGAGCCATCTCTCCAGCCCTGGAACACTGGCTATTCTTGCAGAAGACTTGGGTTCAAATCCCAGCACCCACATGGCAGCTAACAACTGTCCATAACTCCAGTTCC